TTTGCAAGCAGTATCTCTACATAAATAATTCTCTTCTACACCACACAAGTATTATACTAAAAAATTATAACAGTGTTAACATTCTTACATAATTACATTCTTAAATAATTATCCTCTACACCACACAAGTAATATATTAAAGAATTATTACAAAGTGTTAACATTCATACACCACGCCCACAATGTTCCATCTAATTAATTGTAATTAATTGTCTAAGTAATTGATTGACACATACCTTTATATTTATGTTTAAACTTGTCAATTTTATTACTATTTTTTATGTCCACACTTAAATTATTCCATAATTTAACCCCACTTATGGAAATACAAAATCTTTTTTTGGTTGTACGTATAACATGAATTTTTAAATTTAACTGACCCCTTAAATTGTATCCCCCTTCCCTTTCATTAAATAGTTTTTGAATTCCACCAGGTAATAAATTGTTCCTGGCTTTATACATAAACACAGCAGTCTTCTTTATCTTCTCAAGTTCCTGTGAAACCCGTCCAGAGAGTTGCTGTAGGTTTTCACCCGATGCCCATATGGTAGTGTCATCAGCAAACAAAACCACTTTCACTAAATCAGAAACCTTGCATATATCATTAATGTATAGTATAAATAATTTAGGTCCCAAAACAGAACCCTGAGGCACTCCACATACAATGTCCAACTCACTCGATTGAGCACAAGATGGTTCATGATGAGGACTCAAGGGCTAATTAAAGGCTGTGTGGAACAAATGTTTTTAATCTGGACTTTAAGGTGGTAAAATTCATTGAGACATGAGAACTGGTATGATGTTTACTTGGTCTTTACTAGAACTATAGCAGCATCACTCTGAATGAGTGGAAGTCCCCTGAGTGTTTCTGAGAGACCCGAGAATAGACTGTACAGTTACCTAACCCACTAGAAAGGAAAGCACATCACAGTATACACAATACTTAAACCCCCCTGTCTTCGTCCTCTTGCTTCCTTCTGTGTTAGGCTGACATCTCTAGATGAGATGGATTGCAGTTTCAATGAGATAGAAGCCTTGCCCTCCTCCATCGGCCAGTGTGTCACCATCCGCACCTTTGCTGCAGATCACAACTTCCTTACCCAGCTTCCCCCTGAGGTGTGTTTACACATTAAAGTATATATGTGTTTGTGAAGATGTATTGCAGAATGTGGTGAGATAACAGCAGTTAGTCTTGTTGGCTCATGGCTCTGACTTCTTGGTTTCTTCTCCACACAGATCGGCAATTTGAAGAACACAACTGTGCTGTTTCTACATTCCAACAAGCTGGAGTCTTTGCCCGAGCAGATGGGTGACATGCAGAAGCTCAAGGTCATCAATCTCAGCAACAACAAGTGAGTCTGGGCCGACGATGCTTATGAACAATGAGAGTCACGTTTAAGGATAAATTTTGTTTATTGTTGATAATTGCTATCCAACGGTAAATTTTAAAGCAAAAACTCAGGCATTCTCTGATAAATTCTCACATTTGAGAAGGAGCCAGCTTTGTATCATTGTGAATTGAATCTGACATTTGTTCCTTTGGTCAGACAGAACATAACTTTGCCATGGAATTTGTCACTTCACAATTTTCTGACATTTTGAGCAAACGCTGAATTGATTATTGAGAATACAATGAGCACATTTTTCAGTAAACAAAAATGTTATATGCAGGCCTAGTTATTTTAAAGTAGTTTTGAAACACGCTCATGCTGCACTGCAGTAATTGCTTCACTATGAATTGCATAAATTGACGAAAACAAAAAATTATAACATCATCGAGTGATTTTAATTCTGGCAAGAAGGAAAATGGGTTGGGTTGAAGCTAGAGCCTAATTGAGGCTTTAATCAGGGCTGTTCCTTTCCCCCATGTCAGCTCTGTGCCAAATAGCCCAAATAACTTTGGCCACGACCCGACAGCACTGATGGCTGCTGCTTTTGTTTTGTTTTTTTAACCCTAATAAAATTGGGTTATGGCTGCAGACTAACTTTATAGCGGCCCTTCATAGATTAAATGTGCATGTCACAATTAATGTGATGGACTTTTTCCTTTTACACATGCACTGGTGCAATATGAATGTGTACCTATGTTGTGTTTTTTTTCTGCTGCAGATTAAAGAATCTTCCCTTCAGTTTCACTAAACTGAGCCAAATGACTGCAATGTGGTTGTCGGAGAACCAGGTAAGATCACGTGTATTATGTGTAAGGGTTTCATGAAAGGTGCTACAGAGTTCAAAGCTGTTCTATGGAGATTGTAATGGGGCACGTGACTTGGCACAGCATTCGGCTGTAAATTAATCCAGCCAGGCCAAGTAGCTCGCAGGAAAACTCATTCAAATTGCAGTAAACCACTTTCAGGACATTTTATCTAAATGTGCCAAATAGAAATGTAGGTCAGACTTAGTAATAGCCTAAGCTCTGCATCTTTAATGTATAGATCCTTAAGCTTTAAGGACTATAGTGTGGTAATCTAGACAAGTCCACCATAAACCTCAGGGAGTAGTATGAGACAAATCTGAATGCCAGCTTATGAGATAAGGCAGCAGCTACAGTCTCTGGAAGTAAAGCAGACATAGAGATCAAGGTTACCAGGCAAGCTGTGGTGCTTGAAATTTGGGTTTGTGCCCTTTGGCTAATGTGGCCTTTGAGAGAACATGAGATAAGCCTATCAGAAGTGGAAGCATTTGAGTCTGGTCAGCTCATGTGACAAAATGGCTTGGACTCCCACTTTGTCACAGCAGTGTTGCTTTGTGTGGGAAAGCCCTTCTTGAAGTAATCATGTCAAACTTAGCAGAACAGTTTTTATTTGTGCCAAGGCAAACTACGGTTAGGGAAAACACTGCAGGATTGAATTGATCAGTGTTTTTGCTTTTTCCAGCTTGTAAATATTTTTCAGTTACAGTCTGTTCTCTTGCCACATTCAGAAATCAGTTGTTAATGCCTTTCTCGGATCCTGGGAGGGCTCTAAGTTAGTCTCTGTTCAAGTGCCTTAACAAATTGTTGTCTCTGAAAAGTGGCGTTTTTTTCAGAATCCTGCAGTTAAACCAGTCACATCTCCCATGTCCTGGCCTCAAGTCAGCTGCCTATTAAATACAGGAGTTTCTTATCCTTTACAAGGCTCTCCACAGTTAATCTCCTGCTTGGATTTGTGAATTCTTAACAGCAGTGACTCTAGGGTCATTAGACCAGGGCTCAGTGGGTATCCCATGGTTCAACACCAATGGCAACAGCCTTCCTACGCACATTAGGTTATTATTGACTTGTAAACCCAACAAAAGTTACAGCCAGGATTGAAGCACATCTTGTGTTAGCAAGGCTGAAAAAAGCCAGGAGAACAAACTGGAAAGCAAAAAGTCTGGCAACACTTGCAGCGATCCCAGCAACTTTAATGCATAGATAAAAGATCAGCGCGTTTTGGCATAAAGCCTCCATCAGGGTCTATCACAAACACAAGTAACAAAAGTACAAGTATAGAAGTAAATCCTTTAAAATCAACCAGTCCCATACAAACTCGTACATTTTTGCCAGTAAAAAAAAAAAAAAACATGCACATAATTAAATTAAGTACGTGGTCACAGGCCAATCACATTCAAGAATCAGAGGGAAACCGGTGTGTCCAATAACTGACACAGGTAACGCTACATATGTGAAATAATACAAAACAAAAGAGAAGCAAAAAAGTGCACAATTGGAGCCCATGAGCACAAAAAACCCAAACTCCACTATAGAAACTCAGTTGGAAAACCTTTTATCCATTCCCCCTGGAAATAAACTTCCAAAGCCAAAAATCCACGATGCATCCTTAAAAATGTGTATTGCCACCTCTCACTGCAGGTGTTGCCAGACTTTTTGCTTTCCAGTTTGTTTTCCTGCGCCTCAATGGTGGGTGAGGTTGTGCCAATAACTTCTGCTGCATTAAGAAAGCCAGGAGAAACAGTCCAACAGGCACATCAGCACTAAGACAGGATGGTGTTGGGCAGTTGCCACAACAGTGACATGGCCTGGGGACACAGGGATGTGCTTAGGCAGTGTTTCAGTTGAAGCAGCAGTAGCAACATATTGGATTCATGTGGTGAGTTGTTTTCCCCCATGTGTTCTTCAGGTGACCAAATGAAAGCCTTTTCACGTGCTGACAATGCAGCGTAGTTCACCCTCCATATCAGACTGAGAACACCAGGACACTCTCTGAGCACTGAGTGTCCTGACAAACCACCGCTGATTGCAGATAGCACACAACCCTGTGTTTTGTCTCCCACAGTCAAAGCCCCTGATCCCTCTCCAGAAAGAGGAGGATCCAGAGACGCACAAAACAGTCCTGACCAACTACATGTTCCCACAGCAAACCAGGACTGAGGACTGTGAGTACTGTGCATTCAGCAAGGCTAAAGTTCTCTTTCATATTGTTTCAAGGCTCATTTGGCAGACCCTCATATCGCAAAAGTCTCTGGCCTATTTTCACCAATCAGTTCTTGGTAATAGAGCTGAATGTTAAAGATTGGAGATCATTACTCAGTTCATACATGTGTCTCATGTGTGATTACAGTTCATAAAAATGAGTGTGAGAGAATTTGTTGGTGCTGATAGTCCATATCTAGTACAAAACTACAAAATGTGTGTTTTTGTAATCTGGCACCTAACGGTAACAAATCTATTTTTAACATAAAGTAAATTCATTTGATGTCAAATTCTCAAGCACAACCATGACAACAACTGCCGTCTTTATCAGACACGTCCTACAGGTGACCTGCAGGGATCCCTGGCTGCATGCCTCATGCATGTTACCTGAGACTGACGCAGTAGAAGAAACATTAGTCATCCTCTCTTGTCAAGCATCTGTTTGGCTTGGTATCCTGTTGCACCAGCTAGGTTGCCCTGACCATGTGGCACGGTAGCTTTAGCAGGTGTTCAGACTGATCCGGTAAAAATGCAACTCCCCTGTGTACTTCACAAGGAGGCTGTGCTGGTCAGGGGGGTGAGGGGTTGCAGGGGGAGTGTTATGAGCATGTACAATTCGGCCATGTTGTGACAAGTCGATGTGAGTGGCTAACGTAGCCTACTCTACCTCTGCACCAATTTTACCACCAGTGCATCAGCATTGATATATAGAAAACACCGTTTAACATCCATTACTAACGCATGGCGTGTTGTTATGGTGCTTTAACTGTGGCCTAAACTCAACAGTGAATAGCAGTGAACGCTCATGCTGACAAGGTAAAGCGTCCGCATCCCGATCATCTCCTGTATGTGATTGGTCAACACACTGCATTTGCCAGATGATGTCACCATTCAGTGGATAAAAGTTGAACCGGATCCAACTTTTTCGCCGCACAGGGTTGCATCGTTTTGCCGGAGCCCCCCTGCTGTGCTGGTGCCAGCTGCAGTGAATGCAGTCCCCCATAGAAATGAATGGGGAGGGCTGCGTTTCTCACAGTATGAACAGCGCCTTAGGGTAATTCGTGTTTCAAGATCAATTTGCTTTATGCGCTGAAGTGGTAGTGAGTCAGCTGCTTGGTTTTTGGGACAGCGACAGCCATATGTGGCACTACCAGAACAGCTATGGTATCAGTCATCAGCTTTATTCCGTTATCCATAGTTGTTTACTGGAAATGTTTCCAGCTTCACCTGATTCCTTGTTTTTTTTTTTTTTTTTTTT